GTAATCCCAGTACTTTGGGAGGCTGATACCAGAGGATTGCCTCAGCCCATGAGTTCAAGACCAGCCTGGGCAACTTGACGAGCTCTTGTCTCAACAGTAAATCACAAAATTAGCCAGGCATGGTGGCACACACCTGTGGTTCCAGCTACTTGGAAGGCTGAAGTGGGGGTGATAGAGTGAGACTACGACTCAAAAAACAGAAAAAAAAATTGCCTAGATCTGTCAGGTTTTTCTAGCAGTTCACTTTAATTTACCTTGTAATCACTAGTCAAGGACAGAACTGGTTTCTCAGGGATAGCTATTTGATAATTGTTTTACAACCACCTCCCCAGCTTCTTTCTTTCTTTTTTTTTTTTTTTTTTTTTTTTTGAGTTGGAGTCTCACTGTGTCACCCAGACTGAAGTGCAGTGGATGCTCCCGGCCACCGCAGCCTTGACCTGCTGGGCTCCGGTGATCCTTCCGCCTCATCCTTCCAAGTAGCTGGAATTACAAGCACGCGCTACCATGCCCGGCTAATTTTTGATTTATTGTAGAGATGAGGTCTCACCAAGTTGCCCAGGCGGGTCTCAAACCCGCGGACTCAGGAAACCACTCACCTCAGCCTCCCAAAGCGCTGGGATTATAGGCTGAGCCATGAAGCCCGGCTTCTTTTATATTAATTAGCTTTTTTATTTCAAGTATTTGCCTAAGAAACAAGGTAACCTAATCAGCCCTTGTGACCTTCATGACACAGACAGACCCCATCACTATGGCAGTAATCGTGTGACTAGCCCACCTATCTGTCTGTCATCCATCACCTGACATCAGTACCTGTGCTCACCTGCCTCTTCAACAATGTGTGAGAAAGACCACCACCTTAATGACCTGTCCAATCAAAGGGAAGGTTTAAAAACATTCAACTTTAAGCAGCCATTTGCCATTGCTTTTGTTAAACTCTGGCCAGACTATGTGTTTATTGAGTTATGACAGCCATGGCCATTGCTTTGCTAACCTGTAGTCTAGCTATGTGCTCTTTGAGTTCTGGTCAGGCCATGTATTCCTAAGCCTCGGCCTCCTCCCCTACCTTGGGGAGGTGAATCTTCTCTCTTTCTTTCTCTAAGTTACTTTTTAAATAAACTATATTTTCCAATCTAATTTCTGTGCAATTCTTTGCATCTGTTGCATGGCACTGGATCGCACACAGCCCCCAATGGGTCTGACCTAACATTTTGGAGGCCCCTACTGGGATTTTTTTTTTTTTTTTGAGTTGGAATTTCACTCCATCGCCCAGGCTGGAGTGCAGTGGCATGCTCACAGACACCCCAGCGTTGACCTGCTGGGCTCCAGCGATCCTTTCGCCTCAGCCTTCCAAGTAGCTGGAACTACTGGCGTGTGTGCTATGCCCAGCTAATTTGTCAGTCCCAGGTAGCTGAAGGTAACCCTGAGGCCATTAATACAATTCCATGGGACTCTTAATCCCCTCATTGTTTCTCAAGGTTATTTGAATGTTAATATAAGGCAGTATGGGGCATCCTGAATCTATTATTTGGGGATTATCAGAATTCTTTGTAAAAACAAAGTAAAACAGAGTTGTTTATTATTTCTAGGCTGTATTTGTATTCTTCAAAATTAATTGGAGAAATAATAGAACAACTTTCGTTTTCGTAGTTCAGCTACAATATAGATTAGTTCTGTCAAATAGAACTTTCTCTGATGATGGAAATGTCTAGTATAGTAAATTCTAGGCATATATTGTGATTAAATGTTGATGAATTTAAGTTTACATGTAAATACCCACATGGGGCTAGTGGCTATATTTTACAGAGTGCCACTTTCTTTAGTCCAAGTTTTGTTAAAATGTTTTTCTTCCTTCTAAAAGTAGGGAGATCATGAACATTAAGAATCACTGGAGCCAGGCTCGGTAGCTCAACCTGTAATCCCGCGCCTTGGGAGGCTGAGGTGAGTGGATTGCCTGAGCCCGCGGGTTCGAGACCCACCTGGGCAACTTGGTGAGACCTCATCTCTACAATAAATCAAAAATCAGCCGGGCATGGTAGCGCGTGCCTGTAGTTCCAGCTACTTGGAAGGCTGAGGCGGAAGGATC